TCAGTTATACATATTTAAATTGTGTTTTGCCTGTCACATGACAACTTTTTTAGGGAAAAAGGAACTGGCTATGATACAGATATGCAGATCTGCAGTAGCTTAAAGAAACATGAAATGAAGTCACAGGTTCAGTTCAGACCTTTTTACTATCCTTGTACAATCTCTCTGTGACTTTAAAATGTTCTAGAGAGCAAGAAGGAAATGTGCAAAATAATATTTTTTTTCTGTATTCAGTGTCCACAGTTCAATCAATATTCCATTAAGAAATCTTTTCATAATTCAATTCCTCTTATTAAAAATGTGACTGCTTGCCAAAAAAAAAAAAAAATTGGACAGATGTGGGGAATGACAGTCAACTGCTTTTGTGACATAAATTGAATTTCTTATGCAATCACATTATTACCCGGTAAAGCTAGTAAAATTTTATTGAAGAGTGAAGTCTCTGCGTTACTGGTTAAAGCATTGCACACCTTGAAGAATGATGAATATTTATGAAATATAAAGTTGGTTTAAATTGCAGAGACCACCTAATTTGTTGAAATACCTTACTGCTTGCCACTGTGTCATCATAGTTTCCGCAAGAGGGTTATTCAGAGCTGCTCAGCTGTATTAATCTTTTGCAATTTTACTAGCATCTCAGGGTCCTTGTGCCTCCAGCAGCCTAAAGTACAACAGCTGCCTCAACACAAATTTGGCACAGTTTGCCAGAATGAGGAAAAAATTGGGGTCGATATAAAAATGGTAGTTTGGTCCTAATTTTTTTTTTTTCCATATTTTAAGGATAAATACATAAGGATAAATCTTCTATTAATGCACCAACTGCCCTTAGCCATCTTTCTTTTTTGTGTTGTGGTGATCTTAATAGCCTTTTGTAGGAAAGGCCAGTTAAGCAACATCTCTGGCCATATTAGCAAGGTCTGATCCATTGTCCTGGTCTCCAGGGAAGAAACAACCAACGAAACATAAACCCCCTTGCAATCAACTTCCACAGAGAACTTGTCTTAAAAATCAAGCTCCTGAATTCATATTTAAACTCTTAACTGTTTGGCTACCAAAACTGCAAGCAACCAGCCTTTTTGATTTGAAGTCTGCAGTCCGCATGATTTGTGGAGGGTGGGGTATTTCTGAAAGCCAGGACAAGTGTCATTCTGACTTATAAGAGCCGTGTGTCAATTACATTCCCTATTTTCCTTTTTAATTTGCTGGTGTTGCTGTAAAGTGGTAATCATGGGCAGCTTATCTTTATTTAGGTACGGGGGAGGAAAAAAAGATGTGTTTTTTTTTTTTTTAATTTTATTCATTTATTATTAATGGAAAACTCTTGAAATTTTATTCCCATTATGGGCAATAGAGTAAGGTCTCCCGTAGAGAGAAAATCAGCAGTCTTCCAAATCAATTAGTGAAGTGTCTTGATTATGTTTTTTTCCTGTCTGCAATGAGATCGCCATTCATTGTTTCATGATTCTGTCTCGTTGCTCTCTGCACTGAAAAGCCATAAATATGCCAGTGCGTCTGTGCAGAAGATCCCCATTAGGGCTTGGACTAGGACCACCCACTCATTTCTCCTGGGCAAACCAGTAGCTGTCAGATAGCACCTTTTCATTAGCTACCGACCTGGACTGGATGTGAACTGCTGACCAACAGGTGAAAGGTATTTTGTATCCCGTTATTAATCCTCAGAGCCGTCAAGTCTTTCCGTTAAAATCTTATGAATAACTTTTTTATCCTTCAAATAAGTCTGCTAGCACACAGTTGTAAACTTGCATTTTTTGCTTTGTAAAATTGCCAAAGCATGTGGTTGTGCATATACAACTGCACACCCTGCTGCTAGGAATTGGGAGGTTTCCAGTGGCTCTCAATGCCTACATTTGTATGGGTCAGTACACATAACAGTGAACATGCACACAAAATGGCTTCCGACACCAAATTGGTACTTTTCAGCTGTTTAAACAATTATTTGGATTTTCTTGAAAAGTTAGAATTTTATTCCCTTATGCCATGTGTTTTATTTAACATGGAACACACAGAGTGGAGAAGGGACAATGCCAGGGATTGCTAACTGCATGGTGTGTGTGTTCTGTTACGGTCGTTAAGGTGTATATTGGATAGTTAAGTTGATAAATGCTAAATCTTAATTGTGAAATTGCCTTATTCTGTCAAGTGATTGGATTTTATATAATTTGACACAAAAATGAGGCGTATTAAATCTGTGCTGAGATACTGACGTTTTAGCAGCAGACAGGTGACACCGAAGCGGACATTTTAGCTGGTGTGATACAAGGCTCCTCAGAATGCTGTTCTGCAAGAAAATGCCCTTTTTTTTTTTTTTTTTTTTAATTTTAGACAAATGTGGATATATGAAAAAGATGGCCAACGTGAACAAATATAGTCGTGCTGATCATTTGTAGTCAGGTCATTTTATGTCTTGGGTGATAAAACATAGGATTTTCCTCCCCTTTATCTGTTAATGAGTATTTGAGCCTGTTAATGGCACAGTCTTCCTTTGATGTCATGTATGCTGGCATCTGTCATCATTATGTACACCAGGTCTCCTGACTGGCCTGAACTTGAGTGCAATATGCCATTTGAAAAGTGCCAAAAAGAGTAGAGCAGTCATGTATTTTTGCTGATCCCAGTAAATGAAAATTAATGGTGTTTGACAAATGTTTGTGGCCGTACAGTCATAGTTCTGTAGGCAGAAGCTACGTATTTTGTGACTATATTCAAGGAACTGTTCTCTTATGGTCTAGAAATAGACACAGAGTGCAACCAGCTAAAGCTAATGATGTTAGTCTGTAAAAAAAAAGCAATGATTCAAAATCTGTAGATGTTAATTCTGTCAGTATTAGTGATACATATGCTTGGTGCCTGTCATTTTAAAGCCTCAAGGCTGGACTTACATATGTCATGGTAACTTTTGCTAGACTAAGAATGCCAACCTTGGAGTTAAATTATTTTAATTTTAATAATTATTTTATACTGACCCAAATTTACATTGTGTTTTCAACTCAAGGTTTTCTTCACTTTTTGTTCTCAACCATGGTTTTATGCAATTTAAAAAAAAAAAAGGCAGTTGCATTTAATCTCTAGATGTGTCTTTACTAGACTAGTAGATGAAGAAAAATCAGTCTATGCTAAATGTCGTATGGTTTTCTTTCTTTTGGGGTTTTTGTTTGTTTGGGTGGGTTTTTTTAACAGGGATGAGAGTCATTGCAGTGTAAGATAGAGTACACTATCTTGTAGTTTCAGCGTTTGGTTGACATGATACTTAGGCCATATGGATGTGGTTTTAAGGTATATGGGTTTAGCAAAGAAAGTATACTAATAATAAGGCTAAACTCTCACCTCCAATGAACAATTATTTTGTGAAACTGGAATATTGTAAATGATGAATCTGCTTGTATCTCGGCCAGGATGATCTTTTGGAAATATGGCTTCTATGATGGTTTTGATGGAACCTGGTCTTGATATAGTTCTTGGTGTGCTGCACAACTTCTTTCTCTCTATTTTATTGTCTCTAAGGCCTTTGAGAGAAATACTGTAAATCTGGAGCAGCTGTAATCAGGAACAGACCTCGTTATTGTTCCTATGTTAACTTGTGGGATAGTGCAGGATGTATGCAATGTCTGTTTCCAGACCACAAAACTTGAGAAAGCCTATATGCTTCTATCTGTGAAACAACAGTCCAGGCAACCTTGAGAGATGCAGACCACAATGCCTTTCTTCCACAGTGGTTAAGCTTAACTGTTCATTTTTCTGGAGGCCTTCTATTTTATAACACAAACCACAGCTATTAATTTCATGGGGATAGGGATAAACAGGTCACAGGTATCTTGCTGAACAGCTGGTGGGGATTTGTGTTTGACTGTCAGAATATGCTAATCCAATACCGCTGTTTTCTTCATGAAAAGAGTAATGACCATTAACAGATCTGCTCTGGCACTTGTATATAATACTGCAACTTCAGTTGCTTGGTGATTTCAGTGATAAGAAAATCTGTAGTTTAGAACATGTTTGTTCTTTTTACCATCATTTCTGCTGGGTTTTTTTTCCTGTTCATTTTGTCATATCATTGACCATGTCTTTAAAAATTACCTTTTCTATTAGTGTTGTGTTTTATGGTTTATAGAATTGATTTCTGATGAAATCTTACTTCCTACATTAAAATCTGAAATATTTTCTATTTATATACTTGCATTTGTTCATGGAAATGTATATACTTGCATTTGTTTATACAAAGCCAACAGTAGAGTTGTTATTTAGGACATGTGGAAGTGGAAGGAAGCTGCATCAGGGCAAGTTCAGGCTGGACACTAGGAAAAGATTCTTCACTGAGAGGGTGGTCAGTAACTGGAACAGGATCCCCAAGGAAGTAGTCACAACACCAAGCCTGTCAGAGTTCAAGGTGTGTCTGGATTACGCTCTTAGTCATAGAGTTTAGTGTAGGTAGTCCTACAAGGACATGGAGTTGGACTCAATGATCCTTATGTGTCCCTTCCAACTTGGGATACTCTGATTCTATGATTTCATAGAACATGTTATTTCCTTTACCTCCTCCCCTCTCCCCTCTCCTTTTGTTTTTTTTTTTTCCTTCCCTTTCCCCTCTAAGAGCATGACTAAAGCTCCCTCCTACCTTCCCTTCTATTTTAGCTTGGGTCTGTGTAATATTCATCCTGGTGCTTGTCCAGAAATTAGCGTGGAGCTTGATGTTCACCCAAAGCCCTTTACAGTATTTTTTGCAATACATTTCTACCACTTCCTTACTTGGACACTGCTGATGGTAGACACATTTCTTACACAGTCTGGAGATCTGCAGCTTAAAGTAGCTGACCACAGAACTTACTGTAACACTCAAACATTTGTATTTACTTGGGTTATGCCTAGTGATAATAGTAGTTGTCTTTCTCTGGTGCCTGGAATTTGGCAATTTTAACTGCACATGATCGCTCCATGGTGACACACTGTTAAAATAATTTTTCCTTCCTTTTTTTTTTTTTAAGGGACGCAAGAGTGAAGCAGAAAAGTACTTCCTGAAGGCTGTTCAGCTGGATCCTACCAAAGGAAACTGCTACATGCATTATGGTACGTTTCAGATAGATAGGGTTTCCACACATATTCCAGGATTGCTGTTAATCTCACCGAGTGATTAAAGATTTGAAAACTGCTACTGGCAAAATATCTTCTTGAAAAGGGAAGAAACTAATCTACCATGTATAACTTCATCTCCGTTTCAATTTGTTAATCACTGCAGAGGGAGAGGTGAAGATTTTCATATTTTGCATAGCTTTCCTTCTGTGAGGGGAATTTCAGTATTGCTGCCTCTCTGGGAAAGAAAAAAAGGTGACTATTGCCATATGTCAAAGTTTCATGGCCTGGAATATTAGCAACAGTTTTGGCCTAACTTTGCTGGCTGCCGGTGGGTGGGCAACTAGCAGTTATACTTTAGTGTGCGTGAGTTCTATATATTGAAGTGTCTGCTTTTTGTTGAAGACTTAGGGGCCTTACATCTGCCTCTTTCCCAACATCTTCATGGCTTGAAATGGATAAGTATTACAACAGGTTTTGACAAGTTGGCTATACTTTTTTCATACTTAGCCATGTATGTGCATAAAGCACACAGTTAGTTTGAAAGTAACTTTGTAACTTTGGATTGGCTTTGCTAAATGTGCAAAAAATATTTCCAGACGTGATTAGTCCCAAGGAACCAAAAATATTTAACTTTATGTACTAATTTTTACTGTGTTTCAAAGCTGATAATAGACAAATCTAAAAATGCAAGCTATGTAGTCCCAATTGGAAAATATAGAAAGTAGTAATAAATTTCATCTTAGTTAAGGAAGAAGGTAAAGAACCACTATATATATATATATATATCTTTTTATATTGTTTTAATTTCCTCTTCTGATTCTAACTGGTAATATAAAATAAATGAAATGAGTGGCTAAAAGGGAAAAATTAATCTCACATTATAACCATGGTTTTATTTTTTGTGATTTCTGTGTCTGAATTGCTTACAGTGTATTGAATTGCTCATTGTAATTCTGTTTGGTCCTACACAGTGTAAAAGCCTCCCAGAATTGAGAGACTTTTTTCCCATACATTGTTACTAAGAACAGTGTATGGGAATGTCATGTGATTTAAATGAATGTTTGTTTATGCCTCTACAGGCTAATCTGATAGGGATGTTTTTTGCACATACATTCAGTTGAAGTAATAGAGCTTAAGTGTAGTTGATATCTCAAGATAATAAAGAAGAGTCGCAGCAGATTGTTTCTTGAAACCCTACTCAAGCCCCTTGAGCCTTTGGTATTAAGAAATCTATCCTTAGTTATTAGGAAATCTAGTTGCATAGAAACTCAAAGGTAGGTCTCAACAATCTATCCCAGCAACTGAAGTTATGACTGTGTATATTTTGTTACAGGTAGACTTTTGTCTTTTTCTCTCTCATTACTTCATCAACTTGCTGGTCTTTTCCTGTATTATTCACTCTGTGTCATTTTCAAATAGCCTATAAACTTAAAGCAAGGTTATTCAAGTCATCATTCATCTCTGATGTATTTGCATCTACATTTCCAGACTACAGTATTAAAATACTCTATTGTTTCCTAATTAATATTATTCCCTAAAACCTTTATCAAATTTTTCCTTCATTGTGTCATGTATAGAAAAAGTGGTTTCTGTGTCCTTGTGCAGCAATCATTATTGCAATGTAAGTGAGTTTCTGCTCTGCAGATTAGGAGTGAAGGTCGAAATTCAGTCAGTGTTGAGAATATCAGCATAGTAAAATGTATTGCTGAAGGTCTGTAGACACAAGAAGGTTCTCTGTACTAATTACTAGATCTCTGCCATGGAGTTCTTCTACACAGAGAGCTCAAATGAATGCAGGTAAAACTTTTTTTTCGGTAGTATGACTTCTGATCACCTCACCATATTCGGTGAAATTACTCCATGTTTATATCAAAATAGCTATGAGAAAGAAATGGTTTACTTCTGCTTGGCTTATATGTCTATGCAGTACAGGTGATCTCAGAATCTTTTCACTTCAAGCACAGGACTTTATAAAATTTGAAATAAATTATCCTTCTTTTTCTTTCCCTTTTCCTTTCCACTGATTTCTTGTATTGAACAGGAATCTGTAGTATATGTTACCAGGAACACTCCCATTATTACACATGAATCCTTAGTGAACACTAAGCTTTATCTCTACATGTCATTAATTTGGTTTAGCACCTTGTCACAGGTGCAGTCCCTATCCTATATGACATGTTAAACTATGGAGAAATACATCCGTATTTTGCTTGTAAATCTTAGAGAGTATGTTTTTTCTCGGCATGAAGATGTTGGAACAGTGATGAAAATAGTTGGCATCAGCCCTAAAAAACCACATACCTCATGGAACAGCCAAATGAAAAGAGTGATCATTTGGGACACAACAATGTGTTGATGGAATAGCAGGAATAAATGGACTGAAGATTTTCTTCCAAGTTCATATGCATGCACACACTTTTATAATTTGTGCTCCCAATTTGACTTCTAACCTTTTGGACTTTTTTTTGAGCTATCAAGAAAAATTCTCAATATTCTGTGTCTTTTATGAGGCTTATTTTTGTATGACAAAGTGCTTTAATTCAGGCCTTAAGCCAAAGCTGGTCTTAGAAGATGTAATTTGGTGCAGGAGTCATCTTATTTCATCACAGTAAGTTCGGAGAAAGGCAAACAGTTCCATGGTTGTTTCTTGGGATAATACCACCACAGTGCATTTCTCTGATCAAGCTAGTGTTACGATTAGTTTTGTATAGGTAATTTGCTGGCTTTGGATTTCAGTGGATTTAGGTTTAAAGCTGTGTTTCTCAAACTCATTATACTTGGAGATGTCTGAAGGGAGGACTAATGGAAGAGCTGAAGAAATATAAATCCCTGCACACTGCAGATGGGATGTCACTTTGCTGGACATTGGGGGAAGTGGCTTTTGCCATAGTGGCCAGAGAGGGTGACAGTCCCCTCTCAGGCTGAAGTGCAGTCAGCTGCTCATCTCTCCACCTTTCCCCCCTTGCTTCCCCCCCCTTGCTTCCCCCCCCTTGC